CTAAACTCGGCCTCGGGATGTTTTCAGTAGAGAAGGGAAGGGACCCCCAATATGCGCTCACCATTTGAGGTTGTTAGAACTTAGACTATGTCACAAGGTTTGCAGGAAAGTGGAATGAAAAGATGAGCTTGTTTTGGTGTAAAAATTGAATTGTAAAAAGTTTGGGGATTGGGCAGTGGTTAAGGTCCTCACCTTGCACGCCCGGGATCCCACATGGGCGCCGGTTCTAATCCCGCAGCCCCGCTTCCCATCCAGCTCCCCGCCTGTGGCCCGGGAAAGCAGTCGAGGACAGCCCAAAGCTTTGGGACCCTGCACCCGCGTGGGAGACCCGGAAGAGGCTCCTGGCTCCGGATTGGCTCAGCTCCAGCCCTTGCGCTCACTTGGGGAGTGAATCATCGGACAGAAGATCTTCCTCTCTGTCTGTCTCTCCTCCTCTCTGTATATTCGCCTTTCCAATAAAAATAATAAAAAATAAATAAATAAATAAATAATCTTAAAGAAAAAAGTTTGGGGATGAGGGAGAAAGGAAGGGGACCAAGAAAGGTAAAAAGAAGCTTTCATAACAGACACTACCTTCTCCTACTCATTCTATGAAAGAAAAAGTCTCCTTGAAAACACGGAGGTTTAAGAGCGCCCCCTTGGGGTGGATTATCTGAATGCCATCTTGGGATAGCATACCTGCATCACGCTTTTGAAAAAATAAATGGGATTTTAAAGAAGACTCTTGTATTACAGTTGAGTTTTATTATTATTATTATTATTTCTTGGAAATTCTTCAATATATGTATCAAGGTACCTAAATATTTTCAAAATATTATAAGGAATTCTTTCTAGTATTCTAACCCTAAACGCTTAATTCAATAATTTTGGAAGTAATTCTGAGAGTTCCATAAACCAAAAACCTGTGAGTTTTCAACAGACGGTCAGACCAAGCATTCGGGAGAACAAACTCTATTAATGTGGCATGCTCAAAACTCTATAATAAATAACTAGCAGAAACCATTGACTGAAAAAGCAGAAAGAGTTCTTAATTTGTACCAGGGCACTTCAAAAAGTTCATTTAAAAAAAAACAGAATTAAAAGAAAGTTTATTTTGGTGCAAAATTTTCATGAAACCCATGCAGAGTTTTTTAATGAACTTTGAAAAAATAAACTTTTCTTTCAATACCGTTAAGTTCTTTTTGTTTTGAAAGATTTATTTTTCTGAAAGGCAGAGTTACACAGAGAGAGAAGATGAGAGCAAGAGAGATTTTCCATGCACTGGTTCTCTCCTGATAATGGGCCAAGCTAAAGCCCATGGGCCAGGAGCCTCCTCTAGGTCTCCCAGGTGGGCACAGGGGCCAGGAGCCTCCTCTAGGTCTCCACGAGGGCGCAGGGGCCAGAAGCCTCCTCTAGGTCTCCACGAGGGCGCAGGGGCCAGGAGCCTCCTCTAGGTCTCCACGAGGGCGCAGGGGCCAGGAGCCTCCTCTAGGTCTCCCAGGTGGGCAACAGGGGCCAGGAGCCTCCTCTAGGTCTCCCAGGTGGGCGCAGGGGCCAGGAGCCTCCTCTAGGTCTCCACGAGGGCGCAGGGGCCAGGAGCCTCCTCTAGGTCTCCCATGAGGGCGCAGGGGCCCGTGTACTTGGGCCATTTTCTGCCGCTCTCCCAGGTACATGAGCAGGGCAGTGGATCAGAAACAGAACAATAATTTCCAAGTGTTTTGGACCAACGCAAACCTATCTTTCGGTCAGTCCCACTTCCCATGAACTGCGTGAAGTACCCTGTCGATTTAGCACATAAAATCAGACGAACAATAATTCGTGACCTTTAGTGGAAGTGAGCAAACACGCCCTTGGTAACATCACACTGGGAAGCAATGTCTAGCTGCCTTTCCAGTGCACACACTTTAGGTGACACTGCAGTGAGCTGGCACACTGGGACGCCACACAGACTTTCCAGTCCTCTTGACTAACAATGGAGGAGACACCATCGGCCGCTCCACAGCAAGGCTTGGGCAGAAGAAAAGATGCCTTCCACCGGAAATGGACTGTGCAGGAACCAATGCTACCAGGTGGGAGGTAAAGTTATGAACCAAGGGCATCACATGTCCGGAAAAAAAGCCCCAGTCGCTTACTGAAATGAAACCATTACTTGAAACCCTGGCAGATGAATAAATGAATACCTGAAAAAAAATGCAACTAACCTTGAACCAACCTTCCAGGTGACAAAAAGGGGTTGTCCTCGGGGTGAGGTGGCGAAAGGCAACCAGCAAAACATTTCCCGTTGTTTTCCTAAAGAGCTACACACCTACAATTCTCCCACGTTTAAAACTGGGGAGGGGGGCTGGGGTATAGCCTAGTGGCTGAATCCTCGCCTCACAACCACCAGGATCCCATATGGATGTCAGTTCATACTCCGGACGCTCCACTTCCCATCCAGCTCTCTGCTTGTAGCCTCGGAAAGCAGTTGAGGACAACCCAAAGCCTTGGGACCCTGCACCTGCACCTGCACCTGCACGGGAGACCCATAAGAAGCTTCTGGCTTCAGATCAGCTCAGCTCCAGTCATTGCGGCCACTTGGGGAGCAAACCAGTGGACGAAAGATTCTCTCTTTTTCTGTATCTCCTTCTCACTGTAAATCTGCCTTTCCAAAAATAAATAAATAAATAAATAAATAAATAAATAATAGTTTAAAAATTAAGTAAATAAAATGAAATTGGGGAGAACACAGGGTGGCATAGTAAGCTAATCTTCTGCATGTAGTGCTGGCATCCCATAGGGGCATAGGTTCAAGTCCAGACTGTTCCACTTCCAATCCAGCTACCTGCTAGTAGCCTGGGAAAGCAGCAGAGGATGGCCCAGGTGAGACACCAGGAGGAAGCTCCTGGCCTCAGAAAGGCTCAGCTCTGGCTATTGCAGCAAATGGGGAATGAACCAGTAGATGGTAGTGCTTTCTCTCTCTCTCTCAGTTTCTCCCTCTCTCTCTGTAACTCTGACTTCAAGGTAAGACTTGAAAATCAGTTGGGGATAATATCATCTCCTGAGACACTGCCAAGTTGGAACCTGGGCATGAACTACTGACAACTCAGACTAAGTATTCAGAGAGCAACCCGGTGCCAGCTTTCACGCTACCATAAACTCAGGGTAGAGAGAGACAGGCAGAACGGATCTCATGTATTTGCTTACACTAATCATATTAGGAATTTCATTTTATTATTAAAAAGAAAAAGGGGGGCAGCACGCTAGTCTAGTGGCTAAAGTCCTCACCTTGCAAGCAAAGGGATCCCATGTGGGCACTGGTTTGAGTTCCAGCTGCTCCACTTCCCATCCAGCTCCCTGCTTGTGGCCTGGGACGGCAGTCAAGGACGGCCCAAAGCCTTGGGACCCTGTACCCATGTGGGAGACCCTGAGAAGTTCCTGGCTCCTGGCTTCGAATCGGCTTGGCTCTGGCTGTTGCGACCCTGTGGGGAGTGAATCAGCAGATGGAAGATCTTTCTCTCTGTATCTCCTTCTCTGTAAATCTGCCTTTCCAATTAAAAAAAAAAAAAAAAAAGGTGGGGCATGGTAGGTAAAGCCACAAAACCAGCAGTCCTGGCATCCTACACAGATGTCAGTTCAAGTCCTAGCCGCTCCACTTCTGATCCAACTCCCTGCTAATATACTAGGAAAACAGTGGACGGTACCCCAAGGGCTTGGGCCCCTACACCCATGTGAGAGACCCAGAAGAAGTGCCCAGCTCCTGGCTCCTGGCTCTGGATCGGCTCTGGCCATTGCATCCACCTTTGGGGAATGAACTAGTGGATGCAAGATATGTATTTCTGTCTCTCCTTCTCTCTTTAAAACTGCCTTTCACGTAAAAAAAAAAAAAAAAAAAAATTAATGTAGCAGTTGTGGTAAGAGGTTGACATGATGGCACAACTTGTTTCAAATAAGTCCCAATCTATAACCTCAAAACCCCCAAACTGAGGCAGCAGCTTTGCCACTGGAATATCAAAAAGGCAAAAAATGTCATCTCATTTACCTACACAAACAGGAAAGCCCTGCGCGCCGGGCTCTGGTGCAGTGGGATTTGAAAACATTCACGTAAGGGTGGAATGAAAGGGTAAGTTTATTTTGGTGCAAAAATATTTCAAAATCCAATAGAGTTTTTTGAAATAGATATTTTCCATCAAACTTCTTCAGGCTTTCTTTTCTTTCTTTTGTTGTTTATTTATTTGAAGGGAAGGCAGAGTAACAGAGAAAGAGAGAGAACAGATCTACTGGCTTACCTCCCAAAGACCCACGCCAAGCAAGGCTGGGCGAGGCTGAGGCCAGGAGCCAGGAGCCCCAGTCGGGTCGGGTCTCCCACAGGGCCCATCTCTGCCCAGCATTTGCACCATCATCACCGTCAGTGTATCGCAGCGATGGCAGGAAGCTGGCACTGGGAGTGGAGCCAGGGTCTCTGATACAGGGCTCAAGGCATCCCAGGCAGTGCCCTCATCGCTGTACCCAAGCCCACCCCTCAGGGAACCTTCCCAGGACTCTTTGTCATGCACGGATTTCAAAAAAGCTCTGCACAGAAGTAAACTCCTCTTCCAATTCCATTTTCCGTGCGCTTTTCCAAGTCCCCTGGTAAGGGCCGCCCCCCACGGAGAAACGGATTCCTGACCGCTCCAGAGACTGCAGAGCGAGAGAGCTCGGGTGAGCAGGGGCACTTGTCCTGTTGGGGTCCCCGCTGGCCACCCCCCCCAGGGTCCTCTGGAAAGGGCTCTGTCCGCAGGGTCTTGAGAGAAAGCCCTGGGCAGGCCCCGCCCGACCACCTTAGATCCTTTCGGCCGAGTTCTTGCTTTCTGCCAGCAAATTCGCTGTTCAAACATGTGACAGAACACTTAAAATAGAAGTGAAGATTATAGGCAATATTTTGGAAACCCAGTTTTCCTCAAGCTGTGGAAAAATTTGGGTGGCCCAGATCCCTTCCTTTCTTAAAATAAGATTGCACCTCCTCCCACTGTGGGCAAAGAGGTGGAAATGTTTTACATGGATACATCTGGTGTGTTGACACGGCTCTTAGCAGTAAGTCCTTCAAGAGGGCGATCTTTTCCTTCAGGTTCTGCAACAAGGCTCGGATTGTCACGGTCAGCTGCAACGAAAAAAAAAAACACACATCCTCAGGACAGCAGTCAGGCGGGGGAGGCTCCACGGGGTTCCAGCAAGTCGGTGCTGCTGCACGGATGGACACCCCATCACGGCGGGGCAGGAAGAGATGCCTCCTCCCCTGGGGCTCCACGGGTGGGGTGGGGTCTCCCCAGTCCTCCGGTACGGACTCCGAACCTGACACTGTAACCTCCCTCTGCGAGCTAGGCCTCAACACCTGAACATTAGCGGAGACTGGAAACTGGGGGTCTGCCTTCGCCAGCTGAATTGTGTCCCCGGTGCTTCTACTTGTGCGTCCTGTTTCTCCACCTTGGAGCCTGGTGGGAGAGGATGCGCAGAGTCTTCATTCTGCAGCACGAACTCCAGAGTAACCCCACCTCCCTTCCCGCCGCCCCAACCATATTCTGAATGACAAGCTGTCAGCCGGGTCCCACGACCCTCCTTAGGGGCCCCACACTGCCTGCTGGATTTGCAAACCCATCTGAACACATTTACACTGTGGTATTCTTTTTACAAAAGAGGAATGTTCACCGCATGGGAGAGGTTCCAGCACCGTATGAATCCCCTCCACTTTATTGTAAAACATCACCTCACTGGTGATGTGAGGGTGGAACTTTCGAGAAGAGTGCGGCACAGGGGTGGGGAGAGGGGCACCCGTGGGGATGTGCTAACGTGGAAAATAAAACCGAATGAACGACACACTCAGCCGTGGATGGAATCAAGGGTATGCTGAAAGAGACAAGACCACGCCACCTGTTTGGAACGGTGACTACAGGACTCAGGTGGAACAGGTCCCCTTGGTCACTGCCAAGGGGAAGAACAGTGCCACAGGCGCTGGGCAAGGCCGACACATCAAGCTACCCGCCCGGATACCAGCCACTCAGCAAAAAGCCCAACCTTCACGTGACACGTGGGGCACCCGGAGTTTGTGAGGAAGATGCCAAAGAGCGTGGTTGGCTCTCCCCTCATTCAGAAAGAATGGAAAATGCACCCTAAACGACGGGCAGCTAGATGCCGGCACCCCGTACTGGAACGCTTGGATCGGAATTCCGACTGTTCCGCTTCCTGTCCAGCTTCCAGCTATGACGCAGGCCCAGGAAGAGAACAGGAAGATGGCTTTTGCTTTCAAGTTCCCAGTGACCCATCTGTAGCATTTCCCCACAAACACTAGCGACTCCTCCCCAGCTCCCTATGATCCGAGAATAAAGCAGGCCCGACGCCCTGGAGGGAGGAGGCCCAGTGTGCGCAGCTCCTTGGCCAGCCCGCAGATGCTGTGCTCTTCCTCCTCAGCGTGGCTTGTGCTGTGCTTCTGGAAGGCAGGTCACCCGCTTCCGCCTGAGTCCTTCCATCGCCACCTTCAACCGTCAGCCTTGGCTGATGTGCGCATCTGGGTAGCGAAATCTACTTTTCTTTCTTTCAAAGATAATAAAAATATTCTTTAAAAAAGATTGTATTCATATACACACACCAGGCCTATAAGAGTCTATAAAATGAAAGAGCAAAAAATATTCAAAAGATGAGAGGGTAGGTGGCCATTAAAAATAGGACTCAAATCTCCATTTGCAGATACAACGAGACAGACATCAAAGCCAATTAAAACCCAAAAACCCTGAAAGTCATAAAATGCAAGGTTAGCGGGGTGTTGTGGTGGAGTAGGTTAAGCCATGCTTTGAACACCCACATCCGATGTTGTAGTCCAGTTCTAGTTCTGGCCACTCCACTTCTAATCCAGGCACGCAGCAGATGACGGGGTCAAGTTCCTGGGCCCCTGCCACCCACGGGGAGACCCAGATGTAGCTCCTGGCTTCTGGTGTCCTCCTGGAGCAGAGCTGACCATTGTGGGCATTTGGGGAGCGCAATGGTAGACACAGGAGATCATATATATATATATATATATATACATATATATATATATTCGTATTTATATATATGTTTATATATATACATACATATATATTTTGAAATACACAGTGACAGAGAGAAGCAGACACCGAGAGAGAGAAAGTGTGTCCTTCCACCTGCTGGTTCACCCCACAGTGGGCACAGTGGAGGGGGCCGGGCCAGGCTCAAGGCAGGAGCCAGGAGCTCCACCCTGGCCCCCCACATGCACATGGGGGCAGAGTGGCCAAGGCCCAAGTACTTGAGCCATCCGCTGCTGTCTCGCCAAGCATCTCAGCAGGAAACTGAATGAGATGCACATGGGATGCTGGCACTGCCAACGACAGCTTCACCCCCCATGCCACAATGCTGGTCTCTTGGGTGAATGTATTCTAACCCGGGCAATAACAGAGTCATGATTTTCATCATTTTCAGTCATTTATAATTGACCTAACGCTGCTCAAATGGATCAGAGCCCTGAAGGTAGACAATGGAGCCATAGTATTCACTGTCACAGCAATAAATTCCCTTTATAGCCTAGAAATTGGAAAAGGAAAAAAAAAATCCCTAGCTATGAAGAAACATATACAAAAGCAATTAAATATTCAGTCAATTTCATTTAACAACCATCACCACCAAAAAAAAAAAAACCAAAAAAAAAAAAAAACAAAAAACCTCCACAAAAATAAAGATAGGAGTAGGGGACAGACAGGAGTAAGGGCTGCAAAGGACGGATAGGGGATGGGCGGGGTGCGGGATGGACAGCGGTAGGGGACAGGACAATGGTTGAGATGCTGCTGGGACACCTGCACCCCCACCCCCCGTATCACAGAGCCAGGAAGTAGGTGTCTGTTCCCACTGACACACATCCTGAGAAGCAGCAGGTGGTGGCTCAAGCCGCTGTTGGGTCCCTGCTACCCACATGGGAGACCAGGCAACATGCTGGCTACAGACTGACCCGGTCCTGACTATTGCAGGCACCTGGGGAGTGACAGCAGAGGAGGGCTCTGTCTACCGGCTTGTCGGTCTATCTCTCTGCAGCTCTACTTTTCACACACATAAATAAAAATAAATACACTGCGGTCTCATTTTGCACGTCCAAGCGTGACACAGATTTAGAAGGCTGGCGGCGCCCTCTGCTGGCCACATTGTGAAGCTGCAGAAGCGCACGAGCTGAGGGCTCAGGCTGAATGAGGCAACAGGTAATTTTTGAAGAAATGACATGTGTCGTCGTTCTGGAAACCCAGCTTCAAAACACACTTCCACCAAATTAGAAAAAAAAGTTTTGTTTTCAAAAAGAACAAGGCTACTCAGTCACAGCATTCAGGATCATGAGAAAAGATGGGAAACAAGTGGAAGATGACAATAAATCAGAAAACACCCGCGGACAGTGGTTTCTCCAAGGAGCAGCCAGGGAAGGGTGAGCCGGAAGTGAATGGAGGGGCTCCCCATGGGGAGCAGGTGGGACGGAGGCATGAACCAATACTGATAACCTTACAGCAGGACAGTCTCCGTGTTCTTAGGTGGACACTAAACATTTAAAAAGAAAAATGCCATCCAAACGGGTACAAATTTGGGATTTCCCCCAGTGTTCGCATTAGCACCTGTGTGGCCAATCTGAACGTACCTTCTGTAAACCCTAAGGCAGATCCTACAACCAGAAAAAAAAAATGTTCATGAATGTTTTTAGGAATTGGGGTTCTTGGGGGCGGGGCTGGCATTGCAGGTTAAGCTTCCTCCCGCGGCACCAGCATCCTACATGGGCACCAGGTTCAGTTGTGGCTGTTCCACTTTTTTTTTCAAGGATTTATTTATTCTTATTGCAAAGTCAGATATACAGAGAAGAGGAGAGACAGAGAGGAAGATCTGTCCGATGATTCGCTCCCTAAGTGACCACAATGGCCGGTGCTATGTCAATCTGAAGCCAGCAACTAGGAGCCAGGAGCTCTTTTGGGTCTCCCACATGGGTGCAGGGTCCTAAAGCTTTGGGCCGTCCTCGACTACTTTTTCAGGCCATAGGCAGAGAGCTGGATGGGAAGTGGGGCTGCCGGGATTAGAACCGGTGCCCATACGGGATCCTGGCGTGTTCAAGGTGAGGACTTTAGCTGCTAGGCCACCACACTGGGCCCATGGCTATTCCACTTTTGAGCCACTTCCAGCTACAGTACTTGGGAAAGCAGCAGAGAATGGTCCAAGCTCTTGGGCCCCAGAACCCCACGTGGGGGACCCGAAAGAGCTCCTGGCTCATGGGCCCCAGGACCCCACGTGAGGGGACCCAGAAAGAGCTCCTGGCTCCTGGCTTCAGCTGGGCTTGGCTCTGCCTGTTGCAGCTATTTGCAGAATGAACAGCAGATGCTGATCTCTCTCTCTAACTTTGCCTTCCAAATCAATAAATCAACATTGCTTTAAACAAAATAGAAATCAGGATTCTCACTGCAGCAGAAAAAAATATATAAAGCTGGAGTAGGGAAAGTAAGGAAAACAAAACACAACTGCGCGGTCAGGGCCGGACTGAACACCAGCTGCAGGAACTCAAGCCTTGGGGAAGGCCTGGCTTAGCAAGGCCCGCCGCTCCCGTGCAGCCCTTGGCTAGGGCGGCAGTTCCATTTTGATTTCCCTGTGAGAGTAAGTCAGATCACTGTCCTTTTGACCAAGAGGAAAAGAAACGAAAAAAGAGGAACTGAATGAGTAGAAGACACAGTGTTTTGGCGTGTGAAGTAAGTGGAAGAAGTTTCCTGACCCTGAAGCAGAGCAGAAAACGGAGGTGACAGGTATGAACGAGGGAAGGCCAGCCCTCGTTGTTCGCTATCTCAGGGATCAAAATCCATAAAGCGACCCTGTGTCGTCTCAACACACAGAGGCAAACAGGACACACACACACACACACACACACACACACACACACACACACACACACACAGGTAAACAGGACATACACACACACAGGTAAACAGGACACACACACACAGGTAACAGGACACACACACAGAGGCAAACAGGACAGACACACACACACACAAACAGGACACACACACTCACGGAGGCAAACAGGACACACACACACACACACACAGGTAACAGGACACACACACAGAGGCAAACAGGACACACACACACACAGAGGTAAACAGGACATACACACAAACAGGACACACACACAGGTAACAGGACACACACACAGGTAAACAGGACACACACACAGAGGCAAACAGGACACACACACTCATGGAGGCAAACAGGACACACACACACAGGTAACAGGACACACACACAGGTAAACAGGACACACACACACACACACACACGGAGCTGCCAACACAGCACGGTTTTCACACCTTGACGCTCACTAACCCTCTCTGACTCTTATTAACCATGATTACCTTGGGTGACTTCTCGCCCCTTCTTTCATACTGGTTTCGCTCTTGGATTTTCTCTGCTATCTCCTGCGCGATCTGGCAGGTGGCGTCGTAAGCGGAGAACCTGCATCGGGGTCAGAGGAGGGAGAAGGTTTAGGGCTCTTAAGAAAGTCATCAGGTCATTCCAAGTCACAGCTTCCAACAGCAAGCGAGGGCAGTAACAGCGACAGGCGTCACGTGGTCCCTCCCGTGCACCCGCGCGCCTCGACTCTGTAACAGGTGAGCAGCGTTCCGGTTTCCTGGAATGGAACACACAATACAAACTACGGAAAACTGCTACTCACCCTAACGTCCCTACTTTGGCTTGAGCAACGGTTTCAGACTGTGCCAACCACCCCACCTAGCACTTGCATGGGGTGTAAGAGACTTGAAAAGCGACTGTTTGAAGGAAAGAAAATGAATGTTCTGATGGCCAACAGCCAAGTGTCCACTCTGGGTCAGGCCTCAGGCTAAAGCTTTACACTGTACACTTGACCAAGACCCCCACGCGGCATGATCCAGTCCTATGCAGACAGCTCAGTTTGAGAGTGAGAGAGAGAGAGAGAAAGAGAGAGAGAGAGAGGCTAAACAAAGAAAATCAGTCCTGGCCCCAGCATGACCACATTTCAACCTTTTCCCTCCATACTGGCCACTATGACAAGAGGGACTTAAGTGTTGGTGTTGCACATTAACGGGCATCCTTGTGAGCGCTGGCTGCTCAGCTTTCAATCCAGCACCCAGTGGCAGGAGGCCCACGTGCTTGGGCCCCCCAGACAGCCACACAGGAGAGGCCTGGTTTTGGTCTGACCCAGCGCTGGCTGCCGCAGCTACCTATTGACTAAACCAGTGTACAGGAGACCTTGCCCTCTCCGCGTCTCTCCCTATTTCTCTGCAGCTCTGCCTTTCAAATAAATAAATCATAGAAAAAAAATTTTTTTAAACAACATGGTTTTCCAAACTTTGCTATACACTGGAATTTCAGAAGCATCTTTTTTAAAAGAAATACCAGCGCCTGGCTCACACCCCAAGCCACTCTGATAAAACTCCTATGAAGTTCTATCTGGACGTGACGGGGCAGCGGGAGAGAAGGGGAGGTTGTGGGGTTGGTGAGGTTGAAAGCTCCCCAGGTGATTCCAGTCTTGTAAATTTTCCAGAAGAGTCCATCATCAACAAATGCACTGATCCAGCAATGAATGAAACAAATTAACTTAAAGCCAAGAACCAGTTTGGAGACAGTAACACGGGGTGCTTTGACGAGGCAAGGAAGCCAAGTCCCGCCTGTGACCCGTGGAGCGCCTTCCTTTAGGTCAGCTCAGCTTGGGCCTGCCCTGCGTGACTCTGAGTCCACTCGCCGCCTCTGTGCCTCACTGCCTACCACCCGACTGTCCACAGACGTCCAGCAGGCACGTCCAACCCGGAAAGACCCAATCACCCGGCAGCCTCAAACTCCACACAGGGAAATCTGCTGCGCATCCGCAGACCCAGCTGGCCTAAGGTCACTGGCCGACCCGAGGAAGGCCACACCAGAGGAGGACCGACCATGGGCATGCACACAGGCCAGTCCCATGCTGCTAACCCCGTGTGTATCAGCCAAACCCTCTGCTGCAACCCCCCCCCCCAGTGGAGCTGCTTTAACGCTCGCTCCATCCACTGTGACATAGCTGCATCTCCCACCCCTCTTCCACTCCTGCTGACAGCCCTTTCTTGGCCTACTGTAGGCTGGTGAACCTGTTGCTATAGCAATTTACAGTTTTAGGGGCATGCTACAGCAACAGTGAGCTTACCACATGCTTTGACCGGCCATTGAAACTGTAAGTACAGACCTCACCCGGTAGCCTACTAGCTAAAGTGCTTGCCTTGTGAGTGCCAGGATCCCACATGACTCCGGTTCTACTCCCAGCTGTTTCGCTTCCCTTTCAGCTTCCTGATTGTGGCCTGGGAAAGCAGTCAAGGATGGCTCAAAGGCTTGGGCCCCCGCACCCAAGTGGGAGACCCGGAAGAAGCTCCTGGCTCCTGGCTTCGGATTGGCTCAGCTCCGATAATTGTGGGCTACTTGGGGACTAAACCAGTGGATGGAAGATCTTTCTCTCTGTCACGCCTTCACTCTGTAAATCTGACTCTCCAACAAAAATAAATAAATCTTTAAAAAACAAAACAAAACAGTAAGCATCAAGTGCCACCCCTACACACCAGATCCTCCCCAGGAGGGAGGCACCCAAGGCCTCGTTCTGTAGCTTCCTCCAAGGCCCATGCCAGGCCCCTGTCTGCCGCCTCACCAGCAACCCACTGTGTCTGGCACCTGATGTGGGCACAGGAAAGGCCCACACCGTTTCACCTTGAACAGCCTTATGAGAAAGTCACTTGATCAAACTAAACCACAGTTAACAGGGTCAAGTATAAACGCTGTCAACATTAACTGTCCAGGGTGAGTAACTCCTATTTTCCACTGTCTTTTAAAGATTTATTTATTTATTAATTTCCCGAGACAACAGAGTTGCCAAGAGAAAGGAGGAGGGAGAGAGAGAGAGAGATCTTCCATCCGCTGCTTCACTTCCCAAATGGCCGCCTGTGCCATCTGAAGCAGGGAACCATGGTCTAAAGCCAGGAGCCAGGAGCTTCTGCTGGGACTCCCACAAGGGTGCAAGGTCCCAGGCAGACGAGCCATCCTCTGCTGCTTTCTCAGGAGTGTGAGCAAGGAGCTGGATCAGAAGTGGAACACTGGGACTAAAACCAGCACCCATATGGCATGCTGGCGCTGCAGGTGAAGGACTACCACCATGCCAACGCCTAATTTCCACTTTAAACTTTAAATGCAAGCTGAGGGAGTTAGCTTCCGGGAGGTGGCAATTTATAAAATATACCAAAGGCCTTAATAACAGATCTGGAACCCAACAGTTCCGCTTCCAGGAAAAGAGCTTAGGACGTACAGGAAGGGCCACACCACAGCTTGTGGCACTGGCATCCATGCCAGTTCGAGTCGAGCTGCGCTGCTTCAGACCCAGCTTCCCACTCAAACACCTTGGAAGGCAGTGGGCAACACCCTGCCACCCATGAGGGGTAGACCAGGAGGCAGTTCCTGGCTTCTGGCTTTGGACTGGCCCAGACGTGGCATGTTAGGGCCACTTGCCAGTGGTAGGGTGGGAGTGGGGATGAACCAGCAGATGGAAAATCTCTCTTTCATTCTGCCTTTTAAAGTAAAGAAATCTTTTAAGGGGCCAGAACCTTGATATAGCAAGTTAAACTTCCACCTGTGGTGCCCACATGCCATATAGGAACTCATTCTGATCTTGGCTGTTCCACTTCCCAGCTAGCTCCATGTTGATGTTTCTGGGAAAGCAACAGAGGATGTCGCAAGTGCTTGGGACCCTGCACCCATGTAAGAGATCCAGAAGAAGCTCCTGGCTCCTGGCTTCAAACCTGCCCAGTTCCAGCCATTGTGGCCATTTGGGAGAGCAGGCCAGTGGATGGAAGATCTCTCTCACTCTCTCTCTGCCTTTCCTTCTCTCTCTGTAAATCTACCTTTCAAAGAAAAATAAATAAATCTTTTTTTTTTAAAAAAAGAAAGAAATATTTTAAGAGAGAGAGAGATAAGATAAAACAATAGGACAGTCTTGGTAGAGTCCAGGTAAGTCTGAGCAGCAGCATGGCATGGGTGACTGGATCCCCCAGCCACAGTACCCATGCTGGCACAGTGGCTGTGGCTGGGGGTACCCGTGCCGACTCAGTGGCTGTGGCTGGGGGTACTCGTGCCGGCCCAGCGGCTGTGGCTGGGGGTACCCATGCTGGCCCAGTGGCTGTGGCTGGGGGCACCCGTGCCGGCCCTGGTTCCTGATAGGGACCCTAGCTCCGCATCCATTGCTGCTAGGAGTGGGGAGGGTCCTGGGCTTGTAGGTGACCAGAGCGCCAACTGGCACCAGGCTCTGCCCCCTAGCCGCCCAACAGCGAGTTCTGAGGTCTTGGGGGTATGGAATTACTTCGTAGGGACATCTGTGGATAAAGCCACAGTACATGTAGGTGAGGAATGAATCCTGAAAGACACCCAACGACAGGGCCACTGTACTTGTAGGTAAGTGAAGGGACTGAGACCTGGTGGTTTGGAGGGAGAGACTGGAAGATCTGTATGGGTTAGACTGATTTATCAGTCCACATGGGAGTCCTGAGATGGGCTATTAGTTCAGAACATCACTGACTGACACATGCCAGCCCACACAAAGGCTATGGCTAGGGGCCTGTCTGGCAGGGTTAGATCCCAGTACCTGACAGCGAGTATCAGATCAGGGGATGGGGCACAGTGGATTGGGCCATGACACCAGTCAGTATGCAAAAGAACCAAGTCTGGGGGTGGATTCTGTAAGGGAATATGTGAGCCCAACCCTATGGAACTACAAGTCCCACTGGTTAGCTTGACAGTTGGGATGGTGATGGGCTGAGCTAGGCATGACCATGGATCTCACTGATGTTCACCGATACTGGGGCTGGGAACAAGCGGGCCAGGTCCAGGCTGTAGCACCCGCATAAGCACCCTAAAACAGGCTATGGGGCATGGCGGGCCACACCAGCTTATACAAAGGCTGGGATGGAAGCGCAGGCCATGTTGGGTAGGGCCAAGTACCCGCTGGCATGCATGAGATCTGGGTCTGGGAGTGGCCCAAGCAGGGAAACCTAGGAAACTTCACTGATGGGTCATGGCTCCCCCTGATGAGCATGTGGTCCAGGCCTGGGTGTTGGGCAGGCTAGGCAGGGTAGCTCCATCCATCAGCAGGTATGTAAGTTGATTTTGGAAAGGGGCAAAACAGGCGAGACCGAGCAAACCATAGCAAGTAACAGGATACCCCACTGGCAGAAAACAGGATGGAGTGCAGGTCAGGCTGGGCTAGGTTGCTTACTCGTTTGCATGGCCAGGGATGATAGGAGACTGAGCAGGGGCAGGTAACAGCACTCACCAGTGAGAGTTGGGCCTGGAGGATGCCTGGGCTAGGCCAGGCTGCAGAATCTGAAAGCAAAGGCCAAGACAGGGGAGGGGCTATGCCAAGCTGGGTCAGAGCAACCACTGGCACATGCAAGATCTGTGGCTGGGATCAAGCCTGGTTAGGGAGCCAAGGGATGCCCTGGCTGGGTTGTGGATCCCACTGGTGAGCACAGGGTCCAGAGTGGGGGATGCAGTCTGGTCTGGATATGGATGCAGTCTCCCTTGGCAAGGGTGTAGACTGAGTCTGGTGCTTGCAAGACTGGGCTAGACTCCAGCACCCTTTGGAGCTCGTGAGAACCAGGATGGGTATAGGATGGGCTGGGCTAGGCCTCTGTCTCTGTTGAGCTAGCTATGTGTGAGCTGTGTCTGGGTATGGACCAGGTTAGGCTTGGCTGTACCACCAAACAGTAAGAACCGGAAAGGGTGAGGGCCGGTCAGGAAAGGCCACTGTTCCTGCTAAGACAGGAGATAGACTAAATACGGCTGGCCCATGCACCCACCAGTGTGGACGAGATCTGTTACTGGGAGAGGTTCTGATGGAGGAGATTGGTAACTCCTCTGTTGGGACACAGTCCCTGCAGATGAGCGCAGAACCAAGAAAGGGAGCAGCCCAAACCAGGCCAGGTTATGGTACCCATGGGCTTATCTTTGGCTCAGGTCTGGGATGGGCCAGACTGGAACAGTTCATATCACCTGCTGGCAAATCTGAGAGCCAGAATGGTGTGTAGGTCATGCCAGGTCGGGCTGCAATACCAGCAAGTTCACACTAGGGCTGAGTCTGGGAGCTGGGCTAGGCTGTAGTCCCCACCAGCATGAGCTTGAACTGGGGGGGCGAACCAGGCTGGGCCACAGCACCCAACCAGCACATGTGAGACCCAGGCAAAGAGTGGGCAAACCTGGTAGTGGTCTGCAGGGAGATTCCCTGCTGGGCCACTATCCCCACTGGTGAATGTGAGAGCCAGGATTGGGGGCAGACCAGGACAGGCAGGGATACAACACCTGTTGGCCGCCTGTAAGCTGGATTGGGAACAAGCCAGGCTGGGTTGACTGTACCTATTGGTACATGCATAAGCCAGAGGGGGTGAGGGCTGGTTGGGCTTTGTTGCAGCATCAGCTAGTAGATGCTGGCACACGGGGGTGGGGGGGGGGGGAACTGCTGAGCTAAACTGCAGTACCACCTAGAGAGTGCAAGATCCAGGAGTGAGAGTAGACCAGCTCCCTCTTGGGTTGCCACTTCAACTGGTGAGAATGAGAACCAGGTTTGGCTAGACAGAAAGTGGCACCCGCCAGCACATATGTGGACTGGATAGCGGGGCTGGTTGTGTTGACCTAGGCTTCAATGCCCATTGACCTATATGAGAGCTGAATGGAAAGTGGGACAGACTGGACCAGTCTGCTATACATACTGGCAAGCACAGGAACCAGGGCTCCTGATGGGCCTGGTGGGGGTTCCTGTGGGTCACTCAGACTAAGCTACAATTTCTACTGGTTTGCGTGGGGGCTGAGTGTGAGGTGGACAGGATTGGACTGGACTGCAATACTCATTACTTTACATAGAAGAGAGGGCTGGAGACAACTGACCCAGCAATTGCAACTAACAGTGTGTATATAGGCCGATTTGGGGTTGGGCAACAGACTGTGCCAGACCCTATACTGGCATACACACACAAGAATCAGGTCAGGGATCACCTCAGATGAAGTTTCTTCGGAATCCCCCCAACTGAACCAATGGACTCAGAACTCCAACCATGGAGAGAACTGCAGGTTCCATGGTCTGACTATGGAGTGCATATGTCAGAGCCAGGCCTCCTCAGTGGCTTAGACGGAGCAGTAGACAGCATATCCAGGTGCACATGGAGGACATGGCAGTACACTGGGACCTGCAGAGGACACCTGGTACCATGACAGAGGATGGAGGACAGAACAAATCGATCAACTACTTCAGCAAGAGTTGGTAATGAATACCTAGGCAACTGGAGAGTCTAAGGTGAACTATGTCAACTGGTAGATTCTGGAGAGTTCATCGCGATTGGAGCGACAAGACTGGCAGCAATTCAGAACTGTTGAACTATCAAAACCACTTGAGCAGGACCCTCGGATCATGCCCCACACGGGGACCCTGGGATGGTTGGGAGACTGGGTGGGGCTTCTCCCCTTATCTTACCCCTCCCTCTAGATACAGGAAGGAAAAAAAGAGAATGCGAAAACAACGGTCTCACTCATTTTCCTCTAGCCTTTGACCCTTCACACCCTGATCAAATGTGTAAAAAGTAACAAAAATAAAATTTATACAATAAAAAAAGTGGAAAAAAAGTTACGACAGCCTGCACAGAATTAAAAGCAAACAGAAAGAACCTGACAGGAGAGAAACAAATTAAAGTAATAAATTCACTGTAAAACGTGTCTCAATAGGGGTTATTTCCAAATGACAGCGTTAAAGATGCCATGTATTTTGCTTCTTTGCAAATAGTATTACTTAAATGCACCAATGGGGTCATACACAAACTTTACCATGAGATGGGACAAAAATTAGCATTGAACAACTGGCCCAGACAAGCTGGGTCCCAGGGAACTAACTGTGACCTAGGGACCCATTCTCTGTCTGCAGGCAGCAAGTTAATCCTAAACTCCACTAGACACAGACATATACTCCAACCAGAACTCCTTGGGGCCGAGATCATATTTTCAATCACCCAAGAGAAAGTTCGGTGGGATGACACTCAAGGACGGAAATTGCATCTTTGCCTCCTACTGGGTCCCTGGGAGCTCTCGCCTGCTGGAATACCTTAAGTGAGGGAACCACGGTTGAAGAAGATTAGGGAATGCCAGGTGCACAAGTGCACACTCGCCTGCCCAGACTCCTGAAAGTTTTCATTTGGGCGGACAAGGCTTAGGTCCGGACAACCGTGGGTCACCCAGCGGCTGCAACCCGCCACTCCTCAGCCTGCTGACACCCGAGGGTTTCCTGACACTCCACAGAAAGGCGACTTCCCTCCGTCCTGAGGGGGCAGCCCGCGGCGGCCGGCAGGAACCCCCTCACGGGCGCCGAGGGACGACTCCCCGGGGTCCCTCCCCACCACCCCGGGGTCCGTCCCCGCCACCCCGCCGCCGGCCAGGGACCCGCCGCGGCAGCCCAGACGCCTTCTCGAACAGGGTCCTGGCTGCCGCCGCCGCCCTCATCCTCCCCGGCGGCCCGGAAGCCCCGCCGCCCCGAACCGCGTGCCGCCGCCGTCCGGGTCCCCCTGACCCCCCGAACCCGCCCTCACCAGGGGTCCGGGGCCATCGTGCCGTCCGTCAGTCAGTCTCAGCCGGCGCTGTTCGGACACTTCCTGCTCGGCAGCGGCGCACTACGGCGGCCCGCGCGGCTCAGTCCCCGCCGCCCGGCGTCCACCCGCGCGGAAGGCAGAGCTGGGGCGCCTCCGCGGAGAAGCAGACAGCGTTTCGGGGCTCCCCGCTGCCACCCGAGGGATGCCCGCGGCTGGACGCCGGACAATGGCTGCCGGACAGACGCTTGACGGCGGCAGCGTTTGCACAGCCTGTCCCTCCGCCTCACCAGCTGGTCCCCCCACGCCGACTGCGACCCCTGCGACCCCGGACCCGCTCGGCTTCCCGCTGCAGCGCGTCCTGGGGGGCGGCAGGTAATGGTCTCGGGGCTCGGGGTGGGGGGGTCCCCGGCTGTCCGGCCTCCTGGCTGGCCTGGCCCTGGCTGCTGTGGGCGTTGGGAAGAGAAATGGGCGCTCTCTCTCCCTCTCTTTTTTTTTCCCTCTCTCTCCCAATCTCTCACTTTGTCTTTCTCATAATCATTATATCTCTCTCTTTCTCTTTCTCATAATCATTTTTGCAAATATCCTTCGGGAGCTTGAGGCCGGGAGACACCAAAGGTGACAGGTTCTTGACAGGAGGGAAAGGGAAATTTGTTCTGTGCATTTAGTGTCCCCCTACATTTCTTCAAAGAAGTGGAGCAAATAAGGCCTGTGAACATTGCAAAGGGGGCACAAGAACCCCAACTCTGAGCGCTGGGATGAAGGGTTGGGGGAGTGGGAGGGAGAGAAGACCGCACGGGTCTGGTGCGCATGCGTCAGTGCGTTGTCATGACGACCTGGAGACGCTGCACCGGCAGCCGGGCTGAGACCCTACCAGAGGGATCCTAGAAAGAGAAAACCGGGTCTACCAGAGATGAACGACCAGGTTTCAACCAAAGCTGGGGTGGCCGAGCTGGAGCTTGACACGGTGATCGGTTTCAATGGTGAGCACCCAGAGGACGGTGGTTCAGGGTCCCCGAGGGCAGGCGGGTGGTGTAGACGCAGAGGGAGTGAGATAGCGGCAAAGCTCGGTGGGATCCGGAGCACCCCCACCAGTTGCCGAGGACCGGGGAGCCCCACACGGCCTCTGCTTGTTTGTTTTTGGCTTTGGTTTTAAACGGATGTGAAAAACTAGTGAATTGAATTTTAGGGGAAAAAAAAAAACTTTTAATGAAGTGTGTTGTGATGCCTGAAAGTTTGAAACTTACAATAATACAGACGCACAAACACTATTTGTGGTTGTAAGCTGTTGACGCTTCCCTGTAATGGTCTCTGGCTGAGCGTGGGAGTGCCACGTGTCCCGGGTAGATACTGTCTGGAGCTGGGTACAAGATCTGCGTGAAGGGAGTGGTGTGCAAGGCTTGGCGGAGGGCAAGCCACGGCAGGGCAGCACAGCTCAGCACGGGCTGCTTTGTGGAGCCCTCAGAGCAGGTGCTTCGTGAAGAGCAATCCCACCGTCCTCATGGCCATTGTGAATTCTCTTTGCTTCTCAGGAGGGCCGACGTGGATGCGTGTGTTTTTGCCCTGTTGATTTTGTGATCACTTATATTCTTTCCTGGAAATCAGATACACATTCACAGAGAAATGCTAGAGGCCAATCAATGTGAGATTACAGAGAAATAATTCATAGACCTGCTTAAGAAGAGTTTAGAAAGGCCAGCACAGTGGGTCACAGGCTAATCCTCTACCTTCCAGCGCCAGCATCCCCTGTGGAGATGGCAGTTCCACTTCCCTTCCTGCTTGTGGCCTGGGAAAGCAGCAGAGGATGGCCCAAGTCCTTGGGACCCTGCATCTGTATGGGAGACCCAGAAGAAGAAGCTGCTGGCTTTATATCAATCCTTTGTGACCGTTTGGAGAGTGAACCAGCGGATGGAAGAATTTTCTCTGTCTGTCCTCTGTAAATCTGCCTTTCCAGTTAAAAAAAAAAAAAAGGAGGGGAAAGCAGGTTTAAAAAAAAAAAACTGAAAAATTGGGCATGGCACGATAGCCTATTGACTAAATCCTCACCTTGCAGATGCTAGGATCCCATATGGGTACCAGTTTGTGTCTCGGCGGCCCCGCTTGCTATCCAGACTTGCCGCTTGTGGCCTGGAAAAGTAGTAAAGCATGATCTGAAACCTTGGGATCCTGGACCCACGTGGGAGACCCGGAAGAAGCTCCTGGCTCCTAGCTTTGGGTCAGCTCAGCTCGGGTCATTGCGGCCACTTGGAGAGTGAATCAGAGGGCAGAAGATCTTCCTCTCTGTATATCTGCCTTTCCAATAAAAAAAATCTTTTTAAAAAAATCTAAAAAGCTGGCAAACTGTTGAAAAAAAAAAACCCAGCTGTCAGTTTGTTTCCAAAAGATGTCACTATTAAAATATGGTATAATCCTTTCAAATGTACACTTACATATAAATGTTTTTAGCTAAAAATAGGCTCATGCTGTATGTATTCTCTTGTTACTAGATCTCCTCGGTTAACACTGTGTCATGATTTTAATCTTAAAATCTGTCACGCGCACACACATATATAATACTTCATGTAGTTTCATGTTATTAAGAATTAGAATAATTTCTTTTTTTTTTTTTAATTTGAAAAGCAGTTACAAAGAGAATGAAGGCGGGAGAGAAATCCTCCATCTGCTGGTTCGCTCCCCAAAAGTCCACAGCAGACAGAGCTGAAACAATCTGAAGCCAGGAGCCAGGATCTTCCTCCAGGTCTCCCACGTGGGTGCAGGCGCCCAAGGACTTGGCCCATCTTCCATTGCCTTTCTAGAACATTGGCAGAGAGCTAGATCCAAGTGGAGCTACCAGGATGTAAATCAGTGCTCATATGGGCTGCTAATGCTGCAGGTGGAGGCTTAGCCTACTATACCACAGCACTGGCCTGAATAATCTCTCTCTCTGCTCTCTCTTTTTACTAATAAATGTAAAATGTTTATTTTTGACTTGGGAGACACCGAGAGAGAGGAAACATACAGAGGGACCTATTCATAGAATTCCACATTGCCACATGGCCATCCACATTGGGCCATCATTGCTTCCTCCCTGGGAAACACAAAAGCAGGAAGCAGGAGCCAGGATTCAAACCAGGTACTCCTAAATACAATGCAGGCTTCCCAAACAGCATCTTTCCCTGATTTTTTAAGAGCTTTCTCTCTTTCTCTCTCTCTTTTAATTGGAGAGTCAGACATACAGAGAGGAAGATCTTCCGTCCATTGATTCACTCCCCAAGTGGCTGCAGTGGCTGGAGCTCAACCAATCCGAAGCCAGGAACCAGGAACTTCCTCTAAGTCTTTCACGTGGTGCAGGGTCCCAAGGCTTTGGGCTGTCCTTGACTGCTTTCCCAGGCACTGGGACACAAACTAGCACCCATATGGGATCTTGGCACATGTGAGGCAAGGATTTTAGCCACTAGGCTACCATGGCGGGCCCAGCTGCTTCACTTCTGATCCACCTCTTCATGGGAGACTCAGAAGCTGCTCCTGGCTTCAGACCCCTCAGCTCCCCTGCAGCCATCTGGGAAGTGAACTACCTGATAGAAGATCTCTCTGTCTCTTTCTCTGTCATTCTGCCTATTCAATCTAAATAAATAACCCTTTAAAGCAGTAAGAAATAGGTTCCTATGCCCTATGTGTATATATTAAGGTTTATTTTTCACACGTAAGTCCTTAGTCTATCAGGAAAGTATTATTTGTGTCTGCTGTGAAAGAGGTTCTAATTTCATTTCCTCCATATGGGCAACCTTATGGCTGTTTATAAGAGAGCCTATAATTAGTACATATATGTAATGTATATATATGTATACACACACATGCATACATATATATCATATGGTATATTTCATAGAACTACATAGCCCTAAAAGATATTAACAGTAGTTTTATAAAAATTTGTTTCATAAAAAAAGGAAAAATTCACAATTCAGATGCAAAAGATTGTTCAGTCATTATATTTTACCACTTGGACAGGTACAGGAATCACACAGTGCCCCAAAATAAATATTCCAGAGGGAGTTAAGTAGAGAAGAATTAATTTCCAAGCCAGAAGACTATACTAATAAATATTTATGACTTTGATCGGGACAGAAATAGGAGCAGAAAAGATTTTTAAATACCCAGGAATAAATGTGCTAAGAAATATGAGAGACCTGTATGAAGAAAACGGATGGAGCAGGGTGGTGGCACTGTGGGCTGAAGTACTGCTTGAGTTACCCACGCCCCATACCCACGCCCGGTTTGAGACCTGGTTCCTCTTCTAATTGAGCTGCTGCTGCCTAGGTACCCTAGAAGGAAGCAGTAGGGGATAGCCTAAATATCTGTGTTCCTGTCTCCCACACCAGAAATTCAAGATTAAATTTTGTGGTTCTGGTTGTACCTTGGCCATATCCCTGCTGTTACAGGCAGTTCTGTGTCTCTCCCTGTATCCCTCCTGGGACCTGAGCCTGAGCTCCGGCTCGCTTCTCCAGCCCAGCTACCTGCTGATGTGCACGCTGGGAGGCATCAGGCAGGTGAGGACTCAGAGTGGTCCCAGTCACCCTGCGTGGCACTCCAGTTGTCGTCTGGGCTCCCAGCTGTGGCCTGGCCCAGTGGCAACCTTTGCAAGCATTTAAGAAGTGAATCAGTGGGTGGGAAGTTATCTTCCTTTCAAACAAAGCAGGAAAATTTAAGAGAAACTGCTACTGGAGCTATAACAATTGCAGTTTTTAAATTAATCTATGTGCTTGACAGCAGTTCATGATTTTAAGCTGACTTTACTGTCTTATTGTAAGCATGAATAATGACCTAAACCATTCTGACCAAAGGGGTCATCAGAGAGACCCCATATCTATTTCCAATTAAAGCATATTGCCAGGGCTTAAATTGTTGAGATAGTTCTTGGGAAATATTTGGGCCAAGAGCACTGTGAAAATGTCTAGACTTCTGCAAAGCCCCTGGTGGTCACTCTGAGAACTGAAACCAATTTCCCTTTTTTCTCTCTTCCTTCCTTCCTCCCTTCCTTCCTTTCTTTCTTTCTTTCTTCCTTCCTTCCTTCTGTAACTTTTTCTAGCTTTTATTCAGGCTTACTTGACAAATAAAAT